TGATGTACGTCTAGTCGTCCATTACGATGTATTTCAACTGCACCAACCACTCGCGGTACACCTTCCTGGCGTAGAATTTGGCCACCATATTCTGTTTATCGGTTCGGTAAGGCGCCTTCCTTACCTTGAAGACATGAAGTCCGGTGGACGAACCAGACGGAAGAATTGACCTTCTTGGCCACGTCCCGAATTGAAACGTTCGGATTGCGCTTGAAGTAATCCCTCGCCTTCCTTGCGTTCACGGGTCGGTCGTCTTCGCTTTTCTTCCGCTGCCAGCTCGCCGCTGGGTCGTCTGGGTCTCTTTGAATGATTTTACCACACGGAACACGGTCGAATTGTCGATTTCAAACTGTTTCACGATCCACCTGTGGGACTGGTCTGGATTTTCCACGACCGCACACATAATTTTTTGTCGAAGCACTTCTTGCTTGGAAGCCATCTCGATCTGGGACGGGACTTAACAATCGGGTAGCGGGTTGCTGTCAAATCCGAGCCAGTTGCTGATTGGTCGATTTGACAGTAGCAATAAAAAGGACAGAGGGATCACATCAATCTGACTGGCAGTGATGCCGGAATCAATGTTGACGTCAATGGCGATGTTAATTGTTCATATTTGCGAAAGTAAAGTTGGAAAATAGGGTCCACGGCGTGCTTTAAGCGATGGATATTCTTGTTTGTATATTGTGTTAAGCAAAAATGACAAGGTGCTAAACTGCCGTAGAAACTCCGAATCAAATTAAAATTAAAATAGAAAAATCATTCTGTAATTCTGGTATCATTGGTCAACTCCGTCAAACACCATGCACTAATTTTCGACGGGCATTCAACAAAAACATTAAGAAGAGTGAGAAGCTGAATTGTCAAGTCCCGTCCCGTCCCGGATCTCGATAACACCTTGACAGATTGTGACGAGATTTTCATTCTAAACTACTTTGACTATATGTTTATAGTATTACTTCTACGTGAAGTCAACGATTTACATAGTTGAAGATGCTATTTTCAAATAACAAACTGTAGTGGTAATTTTTATACGATAGATGGAGTAGATAAAAGCATAGAGTTGATAGTTCCGTTAGAGTACGGCAGTGTGAAGATTGTATATAGATATTAGAATAGCGCACTAGGACAACTTTTAAGGAAGGTACAAATCGGTTTTTTCATCTCTCTTTACCAAACTCCCCCTTTGGAGAGGGATGGTGAGGGGTGTCCCCCCCGCCACCACTGGCAAAAAGAGATGAAAGGGGGGGACACCCCTCACCATCCCTCTCCAAAGGGGGAGTTTGGTAAAGAGAGATGAAAAAACCGATTTGTACCTTCCTTAAAAGTTGTCCTAGTTCGCTATTCTAATATCTATATACAATCTTCACACTGCCGTACTCTAACGGAACTATCAACTCTATGCTTTCATCTACTCCATCTATCGTATAAAAATTACCACTACAGTCTGTTATTTGAAATTAGCATCTTCAACTACTCTAAGCTAGTTTTACTCAAAATTTCATCAATTTTTACCTATGCAATAAAAAGTTATACACAAAATAAACCGTTGCATTTTTTTCGAGTACAACCTTTAATCTATTGCCGCCAGCTCAGAAACATATCACCACCATGAGTTCGTTACTGTCAATCTGAACTCGGGGTGGGAGGCTAACATTGTCTTTCCTAGAACCTCTTCCTCTCATGTATTTTATCTTCGATGCGTTGATGGCAAGTCCAATCCGCCTAGCTTCAGCTTTCAGTCTGATGTACGTTTCCGCCATCATCTCAAAGTTCCGTGCCATGATGTTGATGTCATCGGCGAACTGGACTGGGTGGACTTCCTGAAAATCGTGCCAGTCACGTCTATCCCTGCTCTTCTGATCACACCTTCTAACGCGATGTTGCATAGCAGACACGAAAATCCATTACCTTGCCGTAAACGAGGGGGGCGACTCTATCTACGATGCAAAAAAGATTGTGTTTTGATGTGGCTAGCGTGCACGGTGAGTAAATAGAAGACAGATTTATGTCGATTTTGAAGATTTCCTGCAAAAAGATGAAACACGATGCAAGTAGATGCGAGAAATGAAAGATGATTTTTCGAAGGTTGATTCGCTAGTGTGAGATTTTTTGAGCATCTAGAATTGAGATTTAGATGTGTCGCCCCCTCGGCCGTAACCCCCTTCGAGATTCAAAAGAACGCGAGAGTGTCCCCGATACTCAAACAACACTTATCACTCGATCCATCGTCACCTTGACCAATCGCGTTTATCCGGAAATCCGTACTCGTGCATAATCTGCCATAGCTGATCTCGATCGATTTTGTCGATGCCATTGGAAATCGATGAACAAATGATCTGTGGGCACCTTGTATTCGCGGTATTTCAGCTGAACCTGCCGAATTGTGAAAATTTGGCCCGTGGTAGCGCGGGCACCCATGAATCCCGCCTGGTATTGCCCCACGAACTCTCTTGCAAATTGTGACAGGCGGCGGCATAGAATTTGGGAGAGTACCTTGTAGGCGACGCTCAGCAGTGTGATCGCGCGGTAGACCGACACTTTCCATCCACTCCTCCGGTAATATCTCCTCCTCCCAAATCTTGGCAATTACCCAATGCAGCGCTCTAGCCAGTACTTAACCACCGTATTTTAATAGCTCACTTTGTAGTTGATTTACACCAGTTGCTTTGTTGTTCTTCAGCCGACCGATCTCCTCCTCAACTTCTTGAAGATCTGGGGCCGGTAGCCTGTCGTCTTCTGCGTGTGCTCCAAGGTATGTTGCCGTGCCACCTTCGTTTTCTGCTGCATCACCGTTCAGGTTATCGTCATAGTACTGGTTGCACCTATCAATCACCTCACACTCGTTCGTAAGAAGGTTACCGTCCAAGTCCTTGCACATATCGGCTTACGGAACGTAGCCTTTGCGCGAACTATTTAGCTTCTCGTAGAACTTCCGTGTGTCATTTGCGCGGTACAGATTTCCCATCGCCACGTGATCTCGGTCTTCTCGCGCTTGTATGTATCGCTCCACATTCTATCTCGTGCGTTGTTGCAGCATTCTCACGCTTGCTGTATTCTTCTCCTCTACTAACAGTTTGCATTCGCCGTCAAACCTAGTGCCGCTGCAGCAATACCATAGAGGTAACTCTAAGACTAGAAGGTCCTGAAGAAACGATCTCAACTTTTTGGCTCAGCTCTGGTACTATCTTCGGTCCCAAGCTAATCGATGCATTTTATCTGTCAACCTTCCATAGCGAATCAAAACAAACATAGTGTAGTACTGGAATTTCGACTAGAATGGGGTACGTTAATCGATTTGCTTGGGACCAATAGGCTAGTCAAGTAGTGAGCCAATTTAAAATCGTTAGTTTCGTATTGATTTTTGGCAATACTACCCGGAACGGATGTCCCTCCAGCCATCTTCAAGAATAGCTGCATTATGATTTGGTTATTCCTTTCAAGTCGGGTTGCCACCTGTAGGTGGATCAATATGGGTTTTATTTTTAACTGACCATCCTCATGATTCGTGGAATATGTTGCGATGTACTTTATTATAAATTTGTACTCACATAGAATTGGAACGGAAAGCCCACGCACAATTGATCCGGTTTGGATCCGACCCGGCAAATTTGACAGATAACCCAGAACACTCAGATCTGCCAGATCGGATCCTAAACGAATTAATTGTGCGAGGCCTTTACCATGCACAATCTTTTGACTCAGCAAGTACCAAGCCTTCGGTCCCAAGCTAATTGAAGCACCCCTCGAAGCGTAGGAAAAACCATGAACCCCTCATTAAAGTCTGTCAAATGGTGAATCAAAACAAACACACACTTTAACAGATTCTAATACGAGAATGGAGTATGCTTATAGATGTACTTGGGACCAATGGGCTAGTCAAGTAATGAGCCAATTTAAAATCGTTAGTTTCGTATTGATTGTTGCCTTTACGTTGTGATTATACAAATTGATCATAACAGGATGTAAGATGCCATCTTGATGCCACAGAGCATACATATAAGATTGTCAAAATGATACAAGTACAAGTTCAATAATGTCGCATAACCGTAATTCCAATTTTTCTCATTCCTCTTCAAGATTGATGTTTACGGTATACTTTGATGTAATAAGACCACTGAAAAAAAAAACGCATAGGCTTCTTACAACATTATAGATGATTTTCATAAAGGAGGTTGACAAGATCGGGTCATAACTGTAGTACCATCTATTCACATATCATAACAACTCCGGGGTCTGCTCGCATTAGTAAGTGAAGTTAGTCGGACCCAGTAAAAAACTAACCGTGGAATGTAAAACTTTGATCGATCATTTTTCTCGAATGATACAAAAATTATACCAAAATGCTTTAAACAATCATCCTAACTTTACAGCAAAGTTTCGGTACTGAACACATGGGTTCATAAACTACGTTGATCGACCTTTAGAGGTTTTAGACCTTCACTCCGCATAGATAATCGTCCATACACATGTTTAGAAATTTGTATGAACCGTAGACACTGGCCAGACCCCCCCCCCTAAAGTACGTAGTTTATGAACAGCGCCATGGTCGAACTTTGATTATTTTCAAGGCTTTATCAATTTTCAAGTCCAACACCTTTGATCCCTTTCTGATTTGAGGCAGCATCTAACGCGTTTAGTACATCATTTAAAACGAATGCTCTCTGTGACAACAAACGATAAGCCAAATGACGTCTCACCCAATAATGATCGTTCGCGTCATCCCATGACGAAAAACCTATCGTGTGTTGATCGACACGTGAATCCTCCAGCAGCGCGCTGCTCAATTTATAAGCAAATATTGTTGACTCTCATTCTCGCAGTCGGGCAAATTACTATCATTCAAATTCAAAAGCGTAGTGTTCCCCAGTACAAAGAATGGGGATTCCAAGCGATAGCAATAAAAAATGAAAATTTCCCCGCTGGGGATTTTACTGCGATGATAGTGCAATTTCAATAATCAATTAGCAGTTAACAGCCTATCATTCTCCCTTCCCTTGCAGATGCCATCTTCTGGCGGCAGCAGGCCGAATCCTATCTGAAGCGGATTCTCCAGTACAAATCGAATTCGAAGGGTGGTGCAGGCGTTGCGCGGAACGTGATCATCTTCGTCGGCGATGGAATGGGAATTGCTTCGCTCAGCACCGGGCGGATCTTCAAGGGACAGCTGGCGGGGCGATCCGGGGAGGAAGAGGTGCTGAGCTTCGATCACTTCGAGAATACGGGCTTCTCGAAGACGTACAATACGGACCGGCAGGTACCGGATTCGGCCGGTACGGCAACGGCGATGTTTACCGGGGTGAAAACGAAGTACGGGTTCATAGGGGTAGATTACTCGGCAACGGAGACGAATGAGGTTGCGGCGAGTGTGTCGAATATTATGGAATGGGCGCAGGCGGTTGGAAAGCGGACTGGAATCGTAACTACGACGAGGGTTACGCACGCAACGCCTGCGGCAACGTTTGCACATTCGTTCAACAGGGATTGGGAATGTGAATCGAAGATTCCGGCGCATTTGAGGAGTAAAACGAAGGATATAGCGAGGCAGTTAGTGGAGGATGCTCCGGGAAGTAAGCTGAATGTGATCATGGGAGGAGGTAGGACAGCGTTCGGGGCGGCTATTCCTGATCATCTGAAGAGTTCGTTCAGGTTCAACGGATCTATGGAGAAGACTTGCGTGAGGCAAGATGGTCGCAATCTGGTAAAGGAATGGTTGGATAGTAAAAATGGGACGGCGGCGACCTATGCGTGGAACACTGCGCAGTTGATGAATGCCGAGGTAGATGATCTTGACTACTTAATGGGATTGTTTGCAGATACGCACATGTCGTACGAGCAGGTACGGGATACGAGTGAAGGAGGGGAGCCTTCGCTTGCGGATATGACCGAGAAGGCAATCAGGGTGTTGAAGCGGAAACACTCGAATGGATTTGTGCTGATGGTCGAGGGAGGAAGGATCGATCATGGGCATCATCAGAACCATGCTCATTTGGCGTTGAGGGAGGTGGTTGAACTTGATAGGGCGGTGGAGAGAACGCTGGGAATGGTTGATTTGGACGATACGCTAATCATGGTCACGGCTGATCATTCACATTCGATGACCTTCAATGGCTATCCGAACAGGGGAAACGACATCCTAGGTAAGGCCCGTTTGATAAATCTGAATTAATCGATGTTCTAATGAAATTTCCTCCATGCAGGATTTGCGAATCGTCCGGATAAATTACCCTACGAGACCATCACCTACGCGAATGGGCCTGGCTTCCAAACGCATCGTATCAACGATAGTTCCAATGAGCCGTCCCATCTGGGTACGTGGATCCCGGTGGAGACCATGAACCGGTCTGCCATCGACTATCGTCACCTGTCTGCGTTCTACCTGGGTGATGAGACCCATGGTGGAGAAGATGTGGCTGTGTTTGCCACGGGTCCTGGCTCTAATCTAGTGCGGGGAACCTTCGAGCAGAATTACATTGCCTATGTAATGAGCTATGCCGGATGCATGGGGCCGGCCAAGCGGATGAACGAAGGATGCGCATACAAACAGTGGGTTTCGTCCGGGGCCGAAACTGCCAAGCGTGCAACTTCCCCACTGTTGATCAGTATTGTATTTTTAGTGGTAGCCAAACTGTGCTACCTTTTCTAATCAAAAGTTAGCCAATTAACTAGTTGTAAGTTAATTCGTAATCTCTAAAGTACATATATACAGCGAGAATATTGTTAAACCTATTCGAGCGTTGAAGTTGTTCAGAGAAAGCCCGCACAAGTACCCGCCATAATATCGCTTCTAAACTTGCACCCAACATCGCATGACAGTTTAATCGACGTAAGTTTGGCATATTCAAAGAGGCGGCTTATTGAATTGCCCATATAATGGCGAAAAATGCCACAATTATATTCCATTTGAACCTATAAAGGGTGGAACGGTTAAAAATTGGGCAATCACTATTAAGTGCACACCGATTATGTTATTGTATAAATTGTCAAATTTCATTGATTTTCGAAGTTAAATGACTACAAAATGCAGGACAACTATTTGATTAGGCTTCCGATTTTCCAAATGCGAACTGTCGGGCTTTATGTTTCACACCTTCCATCAGATTTTGTACCGTTGTTGTGTCAACTTTATTTGATACTGAACGTCAATTTGCTTTGAACTGTTTCTCATTTTCAACTGTTTTCTGAGTTTTGCGGAGGTTCCACTTAACGATTGCCCAATATTTTACAATTCGGTGCAGTTTGGAGGGTTTTTGTCCTTGGTTACGACTTGCACGTTGTTGGCGGTATTCCGTTCATGAGCCATTTTCTCGTAGTAACAGGAAGCGAGGTCTAGCCAAAACAGCACGGAATAACTGTGTTTCTTAAAAAAAAGCAACAAATCAAGTATTTTTTTGGAAACATTGACAACTTTTTCTGCTTAAACTTATCTTGAACCTTTCTTTTTCCTGTAGCCGTGTAAACTCTAAACCTGGGAGCTGCTTGAAATCCACCTTGATATATATAGTATATTTCATCGTTCATTATAACGCAATAAAATTTCTGACGCAATCAATGTGCGTGGGAATAATTTTGATTTCGCTTTTGTGCGAGCAAAATTTTGATTCGCTGTTCCGCTTGCTTTGACGCCAATTTGACAATTGAATGGAAAATGGCAAAAACTAGATAGAGGCAACATTCCGTACGCAAAGATCGTAAAACAACTATTTTTGGTCAAATTTAGGAATTCTAACTGGTCAACTTTTAAGCTACTTCCTACGTGATATTTGGACCATGTCCAGTTGTTGGCCAATGTTGTCCTGGGTTCTTAATGTGATCAGGATTGAGCATGTATTAGAGTTTTCATAAAATTTTATGTCTCGCATGATGTGTGTTGGCTGTAGTTTAAAACTGGCGTCTCCCTTGGGGGTGGATCCAGATGTGACCAATGAGTTTTGAGACTGTCGATATGTACTATTTCGATCAGGATCTTGTTTTAGAATTCCTATGTAATTTGAAGTCTTCTTTTTCCTCGTCAGGTACTTTCTCGAGGGCACCCGAAACATATCCAGATGCGGCCAATGTGATCAAAGACACTCGTTTTCCAATTAAAATTGCAAGTTTTATCGAGTTTTTTTAAAGCATTCTAATGTATATTCTAATGAAACAGGATGTATTTTGAACCTAGTTAGGAACTGGTTACTGCTTCGGGAGTACCCGTATCATGGCTGAATTCGACCAATGAGGTTCTGGATACTCAGTTTGGCACTCATTGATCTTGTTTTTGAATGTGATGTATTTTGATGTGTCGTATGATGGACTTTGGTTCTAATCAGGAACTGGCCTAGTAAAATTAACCATAAGAGACAGTGGGATAGTTTAACCATTCGGGTTACCGTTCATTTATGATATTTGTTTATTAGGGTGGCCACTACTCTGGTGGGTTCCCGAACCGTGTCCGAATGTGACCAATGTGGTCCTTGTTAGTAGGTATGGCTATCAATAAAATTGTTTTTGAATTCTCATGTGATTGGACGTGTCGCATGATGGGGTTTTGTTGAGTCAGAAACTGGCAACTTCCCCGGGGGAATCCGGATCATGGCTTGATGTGGGCAATATGGTCTTGGGCACTCAGTATGACCACCAATAAACTTGTTGTTGATTTGTCATGTGAGTTGATGAGTCACATGATGATTCGTGAATCGGAAGTCGGTTTTTCAAGCTTTGTGTATACCCTTCTCTGTTAAAAGGGTGGAGCATCGACGTCGCCATTTTGAATAATGAAGTACGTGTCAGAATGGTCTAATATCAGCACAATTTTCAATGATTGTTCATAGCGATTAACTAAGAAAAATCTTATGTCAATCGGGGAAGGTCTAGTTTGAAAGTCGTATTTGTATTGCTATTATTACAAGTTGCTATAATGACGAAACAGACTTGTAGGTGGCTTGATCTTGAATTTCTACCCCAATCAGGCACCTGGACAATGGGTACGAGTGCATAGAACGAAATGTTGTGCGGCGATTTGTCAACTGTGTGGATCTCCCCTTTGACCGGAAACTTCTTTAACCCAAGCTGATCTGCTATGTTCGTGAGGTTACCTCCTACTAGGCTACAAGTAGCACCACTGTCCAGTTATCCTCGGAGATTTAAATCCAGTACGGAGCTTTGTGCGTAGGGACGATTGTCCGTGTTGTTGGGGTCGATGATGATCGTTTCAATTTTTCGAAGTTCAGGAAATACTGTGTACAGAAGGAATTCCATTTGTTTTAGAAGAAGTCTCACCCTCTATCGAGAAGTCTACCGGTTTGCGTTTCCCGAACGTGTACTAGCCTCCGTGGATGTAAGCTGTCTCTATCTGGCTACACAGCTTTCGCAACTTCGCGTTGTGGATCCATTCTTCCCACACGTGAAGCAGAACAAGAAGGTTTTCGGGTTGGGACAGTTTGGATAGGTATGACACTTGTTGACGATTTTCTTGGTTGCTCGATGAGATGTTTGTTTGGTTTCCGTCCGGTGGCGTGTTATTCTGCCAGCGTGGCTTTGAATGTAGCGCGTTTACTTCATCTACGCCAACATCAAGTTCTTCTTCGTTTAAAGCTGTCTCAAGATGCTCCAACTCCCTCTGAACGCTGGATGGGATGTACTCATCCTGTTGCGTTATGTCTTGGGTAAGCATGTGGCTGCTGCCGTCCGACATTTGAACGGTTAATCGGTTGATTTCCGAATGCCTGTTGCCCAAAACTTGGACGAGACGGTCGGAATTGTTGCAAGTAGTCATTTCTAGCCCCTGCAGGTCGAGTCTTTATCGAATACGATCTGGAAATTTTGAAATCCCTGCAAACCTTTATGAGATCCTGCACCGTGATGGTGCGACGCGCCGTAGCTATCGGAATGAAGTCCACGTTAAGATGTGACTTCAGGGTGAACAACTTTTCCGACTCCGGTATTGCTGGTTCTACGATTTCGAAAACCGCAACTAGAGCTCTATAGAAGCTGATGAAAGTTTCATTCGGACCCTGGAGCTGAAGATACAAGTTCTGTTTTATGATTTCCGCTTAGTTCGGTGGCAGGAATTCGTGTTTGATTTGCATTTTGAATTCATTCCATGTGTTGATTCTCATGTAGGATCTGCTATACCACTGCAGCGCTCGACCTTTGAGCAGATGTTTGATGGATCTCACCAGTGTTCTTTCATAAACGCCCTCGGTATCTGCGTAGGTGTAGACCTGACTCAGAAACTCTCCGAGTTTGATGATGTTCGGTGAACCCAAATACTCAAATGGACATTTGTGTACCGGTTGAGAGAAGCGAGGGGCGTGTTGGTTCTGATTTTGCGCAGTGTTGTTGGGTGTTGGTCGGTTGTTCTGGATCATCAGGAAACGCATCATCTCGGCAAATAGTTCAGGCGGAACGTTATATCCTTCGGCACCTTCTCGACCATTTAGATCTGCTGGATCTCCTGACGTCTGATTCCCGCTTGGTGTTTTGATATCGCCGAGGAAATGCTCCCGTTGATTGTTGGCTCGATTGTCCTGTTGGTGCTGCATTCCCAATGTTGGACTCCGATAACATCTTGATGACATAATCCAGTTGTCGTTGTTGAAGAAGGATCTGCGCTTGTGTTTGCTGAACTATCTGTTGTTGCTGTTGCAGAATGGTGTTGTCAACCTAAACGAGAGATGGCCCTGTTTCCTTTTCATGTGAGCTGGAGTTCTTCTTGATGCAGTTCAGCATTTCTTCGTCCGATGGCAGAATATCTTTACACCATCCGGATCCGGTTCCGCATCACTGTATCCTCGCAAGGTCTCTTCAGCTCTGGTAACCCAATCCTGAATTTTTCCTATTGATTTGTTTGCATTTCTCGTGATGAGTGGATCCGTAATCATGCTAAGGGTCATCATGGTAGTGCAGCAACCTAGCCCGACAAAACTACCTTGTCGCCCCTTGGTACCTTGACGAATGGCTTGCTTCATGGATCTGAATAAAGATGACAGTTTGGCTTGGCAGTGGTAGATGCTGTCCACATCGGATGCCGCAGCTTCCTTTACCTCCTTGCTTATAAAAACTTCCAGGGTCCATAGTTTTTCATCCCGTTGAAGTTTTTTCGGATCCTTGACTCCTCGAAGCTGGTTATGTCCCACTCCTCCTCCGATAGGTAATGTGTATGCATGTTTCACAGATATGCGACGAAAATATCATTCACTCAACTCACTCGCTTTTGATGGCACTCGTACTGACTTTGACTCAGAAAATATAGTGGGTTATTTGGTTGGGCGCCAATATTACAAGTTGCTATAATGACGAAACAGACTTGTAGGTGGCTTGATCTTGAATTTCTACCCCACTCAGGCACCTGGGCTAAAATTGGCTCGTGGGTGTCCACAGATTCGTGTCTCGAGTTTTAGGTCCAATTCGGACAGAAAGATAACGCAAAACGAAAAGGTAACTTGACGGTAAGGACATATGACATACAATGTAGTAAGTAAACAATTAAACATCTTCCTGGTACTCACATTATATTCAGCAACATTTTACCTGTTTTTCTTTTCAAGCTACCCCTTTTTACTCTCACTACCATCTTCAGGGGCGTCCCCCTAGCACCGCTTCTGCTGCTCCTCCATACCACGCAAGACCATCATACTACAATCAGCTTTCCGTTCCTCCACTACTAGCACTTCGTGGGAATTCGCCCAATGGACGTAACTCAGCTTCTCAGCTCCTCGCTTTGTCCTCCTCCACTACTTGCACTTCGTGGGAATTCACCCGGTGGACGTGACCGTGCTAGATGTGCTCAACCACGCACGGGGATGAAATGGATGCCACTGGAATGGTCCTTCGCCGGATGAAGGTAACCAGAAAAATACTAGAAAGAAAAGGCCCTGCGAGTATTCTATCAATAGTCCCAAGTCACTTGCTATCGCGAAATGTTGCGTATTACCAACAATCAATATGAAACTATCGATTTTAAATTGGCTCACTACTTGACTAGCCTATTGGTCCCAAGCAAATCGATTAACGTACCCCATTCTAGACGAAAGTCTAGTACTACACAATGTTTGTTATGATTCGCTATGAAAGTTTGACAGATAAAATGAGGGGTTCGTGGAGTTTCCTATGTTTCGAGGGGTGTATCGATTAGCTTGGGACCGAAGATAGTACCAGAGCTGAGCCAAAAAGTTGAGCTATTTTCTTCGGGACCTTCTGGTCTTAGAGTTACCTCTATGGTATTACCAACCGGTGGCAACTATCGATTTTAAATTGGCTCACTACTTGACTAGCCTATTGGTCCCAAGCAAACGTTTAACGTATCCCATTCTAGTCGAAATTCTAGTACTACACTATGTTTGTTTTGATTTGCTATGAAAGTTTGACAGATAAAATGAGGGGTTCATAGATTTTCCTATGTTTCGAGGGGTGCCAGAGCTGAGCCAAAAGTTGAGCACGTTTCTTCGGGACCTTGTTGTCTTAGAGTTACCTCTATGGTATTACCTCCTAAGAAGGCCTTTTCTGATCGGTCG